GCGTTGCTTGGCCGACTGGTGGACGGAGTAGGTGATGAAGCAGAGGCTGGGGGTGCAGACCAGGATGATCTGGAAGACCCAGTAGCGGATGTGGGAGATGGGGAAGGCTTTGTCGTAGCACGCCTGGTTGCAGCCCGGCTGCAGCGTGTTGCACATGAACATGGTCTGCTCGTCCTCGTACACCGTCTCGCCCACGATGGCCACGATCAGGATGCGGAAGATCACCACCACCGTCAGCAGGATCCTGCGCCGGGGAGAGGGAGGGAGGGAGGAGGTGTGGCCCACCGCACCCGCCCACGGGGGGTCCTGCCTGGACCCGAATGTGTGGGTCCTGCCCGGACACGCAGGTTGGACCTGGACAGGCATGTCCTACCTGGACCTCGACAGGTGTGGGTCCAACGTGGACACGTAGGTTGGATACAGACACGTGGGTCCTACCTGGACCCGGACCTGTGGGTCCTACCTGCACTTGTGGGTCCTACCTGGACCCAGACCTGTGAGTCCTACCTGGACATATAGGTTGGATACAGACACGTGGGTCCTACCTGCACTTGTGGGTCCTACCTGGCCCCAGAGTGTGGGTCCTGCCCGGACACGCAGGTTGGACCTGGACAGGCATGTCCTACCTGGACCTCGACAGGTGTGGGTCCAACGTGGACACGTAGGTTGGATACAGACACGTGGGTCCTACCTGGACCCGGACCTGTGGGTCCTACCTGCACTTGTGGGTCCTACCTGGACCCAGACCTGTGGGTCCTGCCTGGACACGTAGGTTGGATACAGACACGTGGGTCCTACCTGCACTTGTGGGTCCTACCTGGACCCAGACCTGTGGGTCCTGCCTGGACACGTAGGTTGGACCTGGATATGGAGGTTGGACACAGACACCTGGGTCCTATCCCAATACGTGGGTCCTACCTCGACCCAGACATATGGGTCCTACCTGCACATGTGGGTCCGACCTGGACATGGAGGTTGGACTTGGACACGTGGGTCGGACTTGGACATGTGGGTCCTACCTGGACCCAAACATGTGGGTCCGACCTGGACATGTAGGTTGGACTTGGACACGTGGGTCCTACCTGGACATGTAGGTTGGACACAGATCATGGGTCCTACCTGGACCCAGACCTGTGGGTCTGGCCTGGACATGTAGGTTGGACTTGGACAAGCATGTCCTACCTGGACCCATAGATTGGACCTGGACATGTGGGTCTGACCTGGAACCATAGGTTGGACCCAGACATGTGGGTCCTACCTGGACCTGGACCCATGGGTCTGACCTGGACCCATAGGTTGGACCCAGACACGTGGGTTGAACTGGGACCCGTGGGTCAACCCAGGCCACGTGGGTCCTACCTGGACCTGGGAGACGGGGGTCTGACCTCCACCTGGACCCCCAGGTCCCACCTGGCCACATGAGACCCCCCCAAACGCAGAGACGCGGGGCTGAACCCGGACCCCTGGGTCCCACCTGGACGCCCGGGCGCTCCCCGGGCCCCGTGTCCCCACGTGCCACCGCCCCTGACCTTGACCCGTCCCG